TGTTATACAGGGAACTTCTAGCCATGTTTTAGGAGGAATAGAATGGAAGTGACATCATCCTGAACTTCAGGTGGGGGGGTCAAAATACCGTGATGGGAGGAGGAAGGGAGAGAGATCCTGAATTTTGAGTGATAGTCCCTTGTAGTAAACCAGCTGGGTAGGTGCCAGAAGGCCTCTAGCTCAGCGTTTCTGAGATGGGATGGTCAAAACTTGAGGAAATACGGGGGGGGAAAAAAAACCCTTTTCATTTTGAAGGGCAGTACCTGAGCTATTTGGTGAGCTCACTGTTTACCTCAGAGGTGAAGCTGATGTATTTAGCGTTGCTACGCGTTGCACAGCTCGAGTATGAGGTGTCCTCCGCGGAGGTGCTGAGCGGGAAGCCGAGACAAAGGGTGTGTTTTATAAAAGGCAAAGTGCTGCTGGTGGATGAGACCAAGAAGTTTCCTTAATATTGACTCAAGGAGAACAGAGTTTCAGAAGAAATACAGAAAACCTGCTCTTTTTAGCAGCTCGGAAGCCATAATCACAAGTTAATGCTGATCAGAAAATTACACGATACCACGTACGAGTGTCGTAGGTGAAGTACTTATTTAGTGCCTTTTTCCAGTGACTGTTTCTTCTTTTATTTGTTTAACATTGGTAAAATTTCACAGGTGTTTTAATCTGACATCTCGAAGTCTTGTGTTACGTTACGGCGTGCTCTTGAAATCATAAATAGTTGCCGTGTTCTGTGCCTTTGAGTGGTTTCGTTGTTGAGTGACACCAATCTTGGTTATCCCTACGGACATTGGTGTTTCTGCAAGGTTTAAAGTTCTTCTCTGTGAGCGAGAGAGAAGAAAAAAAACCAACCCCAAAGTTGTGCAGATCTGATGCTAATGAAAACGTCATTATATGGGGGAAAAATGTGCTGGAACAGTGAATGGATTTAATTACCAAATAGGTTTTTGCTTGGAAATTCTGGCCTCGGGCACAGAAAGGAGGTGACTGTCAGGCAAAAGCCTTTAAGCTCTCAGGTGAGTCAAAAGTCACAAGACCCAGGGCATGTACACGGATATATACCCAGGTCAAGTGACAGCTGCCTTTCTTCTGGACTGAGAGGACTTGTTTAACTCTCAGATCCAGGGTTGAATATCCATTATTTATATATTTTTTTCCTTTTGGTAACGGGCACAGTAGGATTTTTGCTTTAGCTTCACCTTTTTTTTTTAACCTGCTCTTTTGGACTTTGAAGAGAAAGAAATACTCAGGCGGGGGGAAAAAAAAAATCTACCTACGGATGGACAGTTCTATAAAGGCAGCAGCCCCCAGAAGGCTGCCTGAGAATTCTACGTCTACAGAGAGAGGTAAGGAGCTTGAGATACGGTTTAGGAAGATTATTATTTTTTTTTTAATGGCATATTGTGAGGCTGCCTCAGACATTGATATTTTCACAGCCTTAATGGTAGAGAGCGGGCTTGAGAGAAAACTGCTGTCTTGATGGGGAGCTGGTGGTGGTTATGCCGATTGTGGAAGTCTTAGCGTGGGAAAATGGGCTCTAGGCTGAGATTTTACAAAACTTCAAGAGTCATTTGTTTCTTTAGAGTTTCTCCTTGCCTCCCTGGTATGGCTGTGCCTGGTTGAAGGTGGCTGTTGCTGTTTACGAGGTCTGGGAGTTGTTTTTCAGGCAATAATTGTGTTTTGTGGTGCCTGTCCCAGCAGCGAGTGTTGAGAAACCTGTACTTGGTTCCAGGTTTCCCTCGTGATCTTCTGCGAGGCTTTCGGTGTCTGGATTTCATCATTATTTATAAAATAACATCTCAGGGCAACAGCTTGTTGTGAGCAGCCTGCTGATCTCTCTGAGGTTTTCAGAAACTGGTGTAAGTAGCAAACGCTGGCCCAGGGTGGGAGAAGGGGACGGCAGCTTGTCTGTATGGGCTGGGATCTCCTTTCCTGCGTGTGACGCTCTGTTTTGACAAGTTGAGAGGCTGCTGATTCATTTTAATTTGTTTCTTTTTTCCCTGGGTCTGATGGGAGTCTTTTAGTAAATTTCAATACAGCCTCTGCAGTATGTTTAGGCTGGGAGGAGCTTTGAGGGTGTAATAGAGGGTGTTTATTTTTGTTTATCGTCTGTTCGCTGTTGCGTTTACTTCGCGTCTAGGCAGTGTCGAACAGTTCCACTCCCTTTGGATTTGTAATTTGTGAATCCTCATGAATAAAGCTATAACCAGATTTGGTTTCAACTGTCATTCATTTGGCCATTAATGTAACTTATGTTGTGGTTTAAACTGCCCTGGTGTCAGTTATAGTAACAAAAAGCGTACCCTTTCTAGCACCTAACTGCATCCGTATTAGAAATGTTTTCCACTTAAAGTACCCTGTGAAAGCCCCTGTTCTTATGGCTGTCTGTAATCCCACTGCTGATGCTGGGTTCTTTGCAGTCACATTGGACTGAGTATTTTTCTTTTCCCTGTTTCTTTGAGGATGACAGAAAGAAAATAACCTTTAAATAGAAATTACAGCAACTGGCTATTCACAAAGCGCAGTCAGGCTGGGGAAAAAACATCATCTGTTTGATCTAACCTTGCTGTGTTAAAGGAACTACCTTCTCTTTCTAGATGGAAGAATTGAGGCCAGAGCTTTTGGCTTTTTCTCCAGATTGTGAAATTATATAGCAAATGATTAAGAAAAAATAATTATTTCCTACAACTTGTCATTGTTGGCTATACCTACTCACTTAAATCAGATTTTTGTGGGCTTTTTCCTCCCTCTCTGTGGCCTGTAGTACAGCGTGAAGTTGTCTCTCTAGGACTGTGCTTTTGTTAGGCCAAAACAGATGGAGGATTTTCACTCTAAACTCCAGCTGCTTTGTAAACTTAGGTTGTTTTTGTTTTTGTTTTTGTTTTTTTTCCCCCCAATTTGCATCACTGCAATTCATAATGCCATGGAAATAAGGTATGAAAACCACAGTAAAGATTTTTGTGGAATACAGCATACTGTGAGTAGTCCTTATCTCATTAATACTGAAGTTTTGAATATATTTAATGGGAGACATCATTGGAACTGGACTCAGAGCACTCTTTTTAAGGGATATTAATGATGCAGCAGCCTGAAAGCACTGGATCTTCAGTGTGTGCTACAGGAATTCACACCAGTGCTACCTGAAAAAGGACTACTAGCTGCTTTTTTTGAATTTGCATTAGGTTTCCTAGACATTTCCTTAAGGGGAACAGGTCGTACTGAAGTCAAAAGGTGTAACCGGTGTCAGCGCCAGCCCGACTGGGCGTTTCGTGGTGGAGATCGAACTTTTCATTCATTGTGCCACGCGAGTAGCAGAACACCTTGAGAGGATGTTGTGGCACGGAGCTGTAAATTGGGCTATGATGCATCAGAGGCTTTGAGAACATAATGAAGATGTGAGTAATTAAATCACCATTACGTGGTGGGCGTTCACAGAGTAGTCGTGGCACGTAATTGGCCTTCAGTGCTCGTGTTGAGGGCTGTGGCGTTGGGAAGGAGGTGTTACAGGAAACAATCTGACTCGTGGCTGCAAGGAGACTCTTTGGAAGTGTGGAGAGATGCTGCTCCAGATAGGTTTCATTTAATTTACTGTTACAAATTCGAGATTATGGTTGTGTAAGCAAGCTAGGCCTGAGGCGTGCGACATTCTTCGTTCTCTTGCTAGGATTGTAGATACCGGTGAGCAAGTCTTAGGAGATGAATGTTCTGTCATCAAATAGCATCACAGGCTCCCGTGGCCTGTCACAGAGGTGTGATGAACCATTGCCCTGGACGTTGTGTCCCTTCAAGCTGAGTGAACAGAGTCCGTTCTGCTGGCTCTTCTAAGCCTCTGCTGGTTCTGCCGCCGTGTGGGCGGAGTGGCTCTGCCTGCCAGGCCAGCAGCACCTCTGCCGGGATCACTGGGGCGTCTTTGTCGTCTTAACTTCCACTTGGGTCCCTCAAGGTTTTCCCAGCAGCGCTGCTAAGTTGTTTTCGGTTCTTCCCAAACATCTTTGATAATAGCTGGGCAACAACAAGTGTTTCACAGACCAAATACTATGGATTTGGGGGCTTTGTTTTGGCTGTGGTGTTCAACCAGAAGTTCCAGTATCCGCTTCAGTTTTGTAAAGTAGGTATTTTTGCAAGTCTCTCCTGAGACCAAGAGCGATGATCTGAGGTAGTGACAATTTCTGAAGAACATTTATCCATTTGTGGCTGGGTGTTTCTGCTCGTGAGTGATGATGAGTTCTGGGTGTTTCTGCTCGTGAGTGATGATGAGTTCTGGTCAGTGGTGATTTTTGGTTTCACCTGCACTGTTGGAATGCATTGGATGAATGTTCTGGATGTGTTCTTAACATACCTGGGTGTTAAGATATCGTAGTGGAAGGACCAGTTATTTATTGTGATGGTTGTAGATACATACTGATGAGCTTGCATTTTGGTATATTCTGGATTTTCTTCAGTACCTGTTGGTCTATGGGAAGCTGTTTCTGAAGTTGAGGTGGAGAATGGAAGAATTTTTACACTTTCCAGTGAAAAGGGCTGTGTGAAACACTCAGAAAAGTTAGTAAAAGTTTTCCATGATTCTGTTCCCCTAAAGATAGGAACATGTGCATGTGAACATACAGACTAATCATAAAGCACCTCCCCTGTCCAAATTAAATATCCAGGGCATTCATGCAATAGTCATTTGGTTCCTGGTGGTGTAAACCATGATGAGAACCTTACAAGAAGGGGAAGCAGTGCTGTTACGGAGTGGGCAATGATATTGACAGTCCTGTTCGAAAGGGGTGGGCCTTTCTGAAGGAATTTCGGTTAGAAATGGTTACCGGAGTTGGTAACCCATCCACAGCTATTTCCAAATCTGTCTTGGGTGTGCGCCTGAAAGGTTGTAGTGAAAGTACTGGAAGCCTGCTGTGGATGGGGTTAATTACTTATGAGTGTGTTTTAACCTCAGCTTTTATATGTTGCTAAGGATTCTTGCTTGTTTTCCCTCTCTCTTTTATTCTAGTTTCTCCTTCTGGCTTTGAGAGCGTTGCTCTTGAAGAAGAGGATCTGAACGGCAAGCTGATGAACGAAGACATACGTATCCATAGCTGGCCTTGTTCTTACTACTTGGACACCAGCAAACAATGGGTCTCTGGCAGACTCTCACTGACTCCTGTTGCCATCAAATTTACAGCTGACAAGACTGGGGAGCTTTTGGTCAACTTCCACCTTTCTAGTGTCAGTGAAATCAAGAAGGAATCTTCAAATTTAATCTTCAGCTCCCTTACCATCTTGGAGAGGAACACCAAGCATTGGTTCAGTTCTCTGCAACCCAACCGAAATGTGGTGTTCAACATCCTCGAGCACTTCTGGAGGGAGCAGTTGCTGTCAAGCCAAGGTGCAGGGGCAGAAGCAGCAGCTTTGGAGTCAACAAAGGGAAAAGAACTGACCGGTTTATTGACTGGATCGCAGAAACGACTGGAGGACACGGCCAAAGTGCTGCATTACCAGGGCGAGCAGTTTGATAACATCATGAGAGGACTCAACAAGATCGAAGGGGATATGGATGTAGCAGACAGGTACGGTACTGTGGCATCCTCTGAGCTAAGCGCTGGTTGTGGGATTGTGGTGTTTAGGCCTGAAATTTGTGGGGCAGATCCACAGAGGACGTTTTGGAAACTGAACTGGTGACTTGCACTGCAAGTTTAAGCCCGTGATGGTCTTTTGTGGATCTAGTTCTTGTTGTAAGATGTTGCTGCATTTCTGTCCTCCCTCCTGTGTGACCTTTTTCACCCTGGTGAAGTTGCTTCTATATGTACGCCTGTCCTCTGTCCTTCAAATGACTTTTCAAGCCCTTGCAAGTTTCGGCTACAACTGACAGAAATGGTAGACATCTCCAAAATAGTAACCACCTGTAAGTGTTGAGAGAATTGGCAACTAGTTGGGGGAAAGAGATGCAAATTAGTATCCCCACTGAAGGACAAGGTATGGCATTGACATTTTTATTAGATGTCATAGAATATGTGTAAAGGAAGAGCACTGGCAGTTGGGTTTGGTTAATTTTGCCAGTCCTGGACCAGCCTGTTTTGCTGTTCCACACCAAACACAACCACAGTTCTGCTTTTCAAAGGACATTTGCAATATGGCAGGTGGGCTGCTGGCGTGGAGACAGTTTCCTAGAGTTATCAGGAGGCAGCTGCCAATTAATCTTTAGTTCAAGTAGATCGTACACCTTATTCTGTGCTGCTTTTTGCATACAAAGTGTGTGCAGTTGAGGGCTTTATCTTTGCCTTTTCCTTCCTACTCCCAGCTACACACAGCAGTGGGGCTTGGGTCTGTGGTGCGGATGTCGTCAGGCCAATGGCTGCAGAAACAGCGCTCCCTTATCTGTGCTGTAAAACTGCACTGCTGTTCACCTTACCTGGAATACTCCCTGCCTTTAAGTCTGGCTGGAATAAATACATTTTGAGGTCAAAATGGACGGTGTTGAGCAACACTGAACTGCTGAGCTTTGTCTGCAGAGTGGGGTGGTGCAAGAACTGGAGAGCCAGTCCTAGGCTATTTGAGGTAATCTCCATCAGGCACTTAAGCCAGTGTATTAAAAAAAGAAATGGCCACCAAGTGCTGCCTGTAGACGTCTGAAATAAGAGATTTGAAGCACATTTGAGATGTTGCTTAACTCCAGCTGTTGCAGGACTCAATGTGAATACTAAATAGTCTGTGTCTTGATCAGAACATGACGACTTTGCTATTTAATGATCAGCATTCAAAGTGGGTTGTTCTCTGCCATTCTGTATGCTGCAGGCTGGATTTGATAGCAGTCCAAAACAGACGGTGAGGTTACGAGTAATATTGTAATGTTTGAAGATACATAGCTCTGAGTGTCTTCGTAGAGGCTCTGACACCTGCATGAAGAAACAAACGCAATAAAGTTCAAACTAGTTATTTTTGGAAGCAGCATCTGTTTTCAGACGGATATCATGTCTAAAAGAAAGTGTTGATTTCACAGTGATTCTGGTGATATTCTCCATACCCTTTAATGAAGAGCCAAGATAACTGAAAGCTTCAGCAATAGCTTTTAAAGTTCTGTAGCAATAAACAATGAGTAGAAAAATAAATACCTGCTCATTGTTTTTGGAAGAGAGTTTTGTTTTGGGTTAAGATGCACTGGGAGGTATTGTTTGTCCTCATGAATGTGAAGAGCTAGATGCTTTGATTTAAAAATGGAAAAATAAAGGAAGGCATTGACCAAATGTTAGCTGAGATTCCATTTTATCTACAGTGTGAAGAGTTTGGCCAGCTTGTTTCGAGGCTAAAATGCAGCCCAGAAGCCATTAACAAAACTCTGTTTTAATTGCAGTGTGCTTTTTGAGGAGTTCTAACAGCTTTCTAGCATGGTTTGTGGGTGTCTGTGGGTGTTTTCTCATAAAGCTGCTTCCCTCCCCACCCCACCCAAAGTCTTCTCTTAAGCTGATGGCATCTTTCTTCGTGTCCCTGACCAATGTAGAAGGTGGGGAAGACTGTGATAGAAGCTCACTTAATTGTTATATATATATATATATAAAAATAAAAAATTCAGACTATTAACACAGGTAAATATGCTAATGTCTATTAAGGCCTTTAGATTCTTGCTTTCTTTAGAAACTTGATGAGAAGTAGCTGCATGGATCATGTCCTGCAGGACTATTTTGCCTGTGCAGCCGATTTTGTGCAGGAGGAAACTTTGGCAACAAACTTTTGTGTCCGCTAGGTCAAGGTGACGTGAGCAACACCAGTTTGGTGGTGGTATCTTTCATAAAAGAAACCAGGCCCCGTTATCTACTTCCGTATGTTTAAAACTTTGATTAACTTTATCTTGCCTGTATGTGTGGGCTCTTTTGGATTATTAATTCGGTCCTTGTGTGTGCCTGGGTGTATACAGCTGTTTTCAGCGGACCTGGGTGCAGATAAGCAGAGCCGAGTCTGACGTGCTAGCAGATGTTCAAAGACCAAAAATAAACAGAAAGCCAGATTGGCTGGTTCCTTTTTAATATATTGCTGTTAGAGGACAAGGTCCTCTGCTTGCAAATTTTCATTTGTGTATAAGGACCGGCCATCTAGTTTGTTGATACAGAGGGGTGACTCCTCCGTGGAAGGCCAGGGAAGTTGGCTGGAGCCTTTGTTAGGGCTGTGCAGCAGGAAAATCTGGACTGTAAATCACACATCCCACAGCCAGGATGTCAGTCCCTGGAGAAAGAGGGGAGGGGATGGACAGAGGGATAAAGGGATAAAAATTAAGGCTCAAAGCTATCCAGAATGAGTTAGCACAATGTCAGCGGAGGCTTAGACTTGTCACATCGCAGCTGCTTTTCAGGAAGGGAACACACGTGCTTTTGTCGTGGCGCATGTGATGAAGCAAACCCGCGTCGTGGTAGGAATTCGGTGACTTTGCATGGGTTAGGACACAGCCATCGGCTGCCGTTGCCCTGAGGTGCCTTGTTGTGACCTTTTCATACAGCAAGAGGACAGAAAAGGCGCTTTGCGTTCTGTAGAGGCGGCGTCAGGTCGTTTGTTTCTGCGTAGTGAGAGGAGGCAAGGTTAGAGCACGGCTTGTAATTTGGGAGATGATGTCTGCTAGCAGAGCCCGGGGCCTTTGCAGTCATTCTCTGTGCTGAACTTCAGTTGAACCTCATCGTTTCAGGCTTCAGCCCTAAATCTATGATACTGTGCCATTCCAAATTCTGTTATTGTAGGACTTTGTTACATCTCCT